TCTATCTATCTATCTATCTATCTATCTATCTATCTATCTATCTATCTATCTATCTATCATGCATCACACTTTTTTTTCTCATTATGTTGTACCTCTGCTTGAGCAGGACCACGTCCTCAGCCAGGTTGTCCCTCTCCACTTGGTACTGGTCCCTCTCCTTTCCGGTGGCGTCCAGTTGGCGGCGCAGGTCCCTCACCTCCTCCTGGAAGAGCTCAGAGGCGCGGTTGGGCTGACCGTGCTGCTGCTGGCCCTTGAACTGGTTGAGCTCTTGCTGCAGTGCACCATTCTGCTGCTCCAGGTAACGCACCTTATCGATGAAGCTGGCGAAGCGGTCGTTGAGCTCCTGCAGCTCGGCCTTCTCGTTGCTGCGGGTGGTTAGGAACTCCTGGTTGATGGCTTCAGACAGGGTGAAGTCCACCTTGTCGTAGGAGAGGCGAGGGGGCTGGGCGCCGGAGCGAGAACGCTGTTGGTGGTAGGTGGTGGAGCGGGATGCAACCACAGGTGGCATTGAACGCATATAGCGCCCTCCAGAAGCAGGCATACGGGAGGACACGGGGGAGTAAGAGGACATGGAGATGGGGTGTGGGCTTCCAAAGGTGCGCCTATAGGAAGTTGAGGTATTCATTGAAGAGTGGCTCATGGTTAGTCTTGTTCTGTTCTCTGTCGCAGAGGAAAGAAGGAGAGTTGGAGGCTATAAGATGCTCGTGAAGCTACAGGACATCAGACTGAGGAGTGCTGGGGTTTTTATGCACACAGGCTGACTATCCCATCATCCTTACGCCTCCTCCCTCCCTCATTTCTCCTCACCCCACCCACATGTACCCTTCCTTTCTCGCTCATCAGCATACAAGCTTTGGCCACTCCCTGCCCTTCAGATATGGACCTAGCCTCTCTCTGTCTTTCTCTCTGTCTCAACAGCTCCACCCTTTTTACCAGCACACTTGGCAGGAGGCCAGACTGGCTTCCACATTACAGCTTTAATATCTAAAGATGTCTCCTCAAGCCCACCCCTCCTCGCCTCTCTGATTCATGCCCTCATTGACACTTGTTCACTCAGTTAGTTTTGATTTTTGTTTCTCCACACCATTCCTATATAATTTCACCCATTTTCACATGTATGTGTCAAGGATTCTGTTACCTGCTTCTCACTAAGAAACTGTGAAATTGTAGCATACATTGAATCATTGATTTAATTCTTTCCTCCCCGTCTATCTGTCTCCCTTCCTCTCGCCTCTCTGTCTCTCTCTCCTTTTACAGTAATGGAACACTTTATTGATATTCTGGGTGTCTGAGGCAGAGCTATGACTCTGCAGTTATTCTATCCTTTAAAATGCACTAGATCCAGTAAACCCTGTTAATAGAGTCAGAGTTGTCAAATAACTTTGTCAGTATTTGTGGTGAACAATGGGGGTTTTGCAGGTAGAGTCTGAATCAGGACAATTGAAAGCAATCATTTAAGCTCAGTCAACATTTGGTAATTATGTTATTGTTGCTCAATATCAAACATACAACTTTATAGCACCTTTACCTGTAAGTGTATTTTGCTCTTGACATTATAACTTATCTTTATCAGGTACAAAAAGTGCTATCAAACCATTGCAGTAATAGTGTATTAGTGTGCTTGTGTGTGTGTGTGTGTGTGTGTGTGTGTGTGTGTGTGTGTGTGTGTGTGTGTGTGTGTGTGTGTGTGTGTGTGTGAGTGTGAGAGAGAGCTCTATAGTCATTTTAATTGAGGACTGCAGACGGGCTCCCACTCTCATATAAAGTTGACGCAATTCTGAGCATGCTCTGTGGCGACTGGGTGTGGCACTCTCTTCTCTTTGTGTCCCTTCCCTGTGATGCTTGGTACCTTAATCCTGTCCATTTATGCTCTCTTGTGTCTGCACAACCAACTATAATATGTTGTGTCATATTCGTTTCTTTTTCAAACACATGTACATCAGAAAAACACTTTTTCTGATTCAATTTAACTTTGGGTTTCCTCTTCCTGATGGAGCATCTGGAGTACACTGTAATAAAAGTATAGTTATCTCTTCTTCAGTCTGTCATTCACAAATACACACTTACACACTTGATTTTCCTCTCTCTAGGTCTGCATGGCAGTTACTGCAGAGGTCTGGCTCTCTGTGTAATAAACGGCCCATGTTAGTCTTAGCTCTGTAATCTAATCAACCAGCTCTATGATCATAACCCTCTCCTCTCTCTCTCTCTCCCTCTCCCTCCCCCTCTGTCTCACTCTGTCTGCTCAGGGCATATCTCACTTTCTATTCTTTCCCCTGAGCCTGCTCCAGGATGTGTATGTCAGCCACACAAGCACACATGCAAACACACCTACATTGAAATGATTTTGAAGTGGGCTGTATCAGTAATTCTAACCATCAGCCAGATGTTACCATTGGTGATTGATCCTTCTGGTTCTAAGAGAAATCCCGAAGGGGCCATAAATCCAATCATGCAGCTTCGACAGTGACAGGATAGAATATATCTGATCCGCTTATTGAACTCACAGTATGTGTGCATTGTCTCAAACCTAACCAGGCATTTAGCTTTCAGGATAAAAGTGAATGAAATATTGTGCTAAGATGCTATGTTCACGATGTCTAGGGTGTGGCCTCTGATAAGAAAATGAGTCAAACTTTGGGGAATCGTAGCGATAATATCCAAACACAATTGCTCGGCAAGAACATCCATATTGACCACATTTGCAAACACTCTGGATTACTTTAAATGACAATATGTATTTGTTTTACCGAAGGTAAATTAACTTTCTACCATTCTTGCGCATTTCATGAGTATGATTAAGGTTACATATAGATGGTGCAAATAAACTATGGTTACGGTATGGTTATGAATGCACTTGGGAGTATTCATTATGAAAATAAACAGCTATGGACTGTGGCAACTTGGAGTGCAAGTTGCAAATTGCAGCTTTCTTATAAACCGCTAATACAAAACTAATTTAGTTCTGTATTTGTAATGAATTTCCATCAACTAAAAACTCCTGAGTGTTATATAGAAAGAAACTCCCCCAAACAGTCAAGTGATTAATGTAATAATGGTTCACATGCTAGATTTCTTTTTTGAGTACCTCATTAAGAAGAAATAAATTAGTTGTTTAATGTTTTAACTCAAATCGGACACCTTAATAGATTTTAGGATGGTAAAATGTGTAGAAATTATGCTGATTGTGGGCTGTAGTGAGACTCATCAAAGCATCCTTGACTGTGATGGTTTCTGCAATGGAGACGGCAGATGCAGGAAATTGCATCCCTTCTAACATCAGTTGCTAGGGAGTGGTGAGCAATAAAGAATTGTTCAAATTAATCTGAGCTGTGAAGCTGCTTGTGTGGTGTCAACCCACTGACTCCTCTCCAGGCTCACTGTCCAGAGAGGACTCAAAACTGCTGGTCTGGTTATCTGGAGAAGAGAAGCCAATTTCTGGAGCTTTGTGACAGTTCAGCCAGTTGAACTGTGACAAGTGGTGAGGATGCTTTGACCTATTAAAAGCTGCAGGCCTGGTAAGATCCGGGAGGACTGCCAGGTCCAAGGATAGAGATCATCATGTGAAAAATGATGGCCTTCCAGCAGAGCTGTGGGGGTTTTGTCTTGGTTGCAGTACAGTGCACATCCGGAAAGAACGGAGATGGCTGGACAACACTACATGTGACCCGGAGACACGTCAATGGTGGAGGATGACTAATGGCTGTGTTTGTGTAATTACTGTAATGAAGCACTGCAGTGTTACACAAGTCTACATATTCATGTTAGTAAAGAGAGACAGACAGAGAAAGGACATTATGGCGCATGCATGAGCAAAACCACACAATACAAGGTTCTTCCTGATATCCCAAATCGTTTTGTTGAGAAAGGTGCACAGTATGTATCTATTGCTTCTCATATTTTACTGCCTTATAGATTCCCACTCTAGTGCAGTAATACAATAGACTGCATTTTAAATTCAGTAAAATTAGTCATTAAGACAAAAATCAACAGCCTTCTGTCACTTCACGACTTCATTTCACAAAAGCAAACCAGGTTATCAAGAGCCATGTTTTGCTTTCCTTCCCTATCACCCCACATCTTATTTATACCACGCAGGCCAGGCCATGTGCCTTCCTCCATTAAAGATTTTGCTGCATTGACGTCAGCCTTTTTTCCTGCACTGCAGTGTGTCATACGATGTGCATGTTACGATCAGCAGCTCTTCGTCAACTCAATGCATGAAGGTAGCCTACAACATCTTGATAAATCATTTTAATTGAACAGAGAGAGAGAGACAGGATGGTAGTAGTTTTCAAACGCACCCAGCTGCAGTATTCCTGTAACCACACCACCTCTGACCACATCTCTGCTCCATCTAAGTGCCTGCTGAGATCACATGTGAAACGTTTATAACATGCCTGTGCATATTTTATTAAACAAGGCATCTTTATTGTTTGAAGAATATTCTAGTTTATATTATTTCTGAGACAGAATCTATATGCTGTTCTGTTCTTGTATCTAAGCTGTGGCTCAATGTAAACATGGGATGTGTTCTAGAGCCCATTTCACAATGTTATTCATCGATGCTTTTCTTTAAACATAAAGTTGTTGCAGTAGATTAGCACTGATGTGTGTTTAGTGGTAATGATCTTAGGATTCTTACTGTAGTTAAACTTGTATTTGTTTTATTATTTTTTGGCTACTTGGGGCAGTGCAACAATACCTTAATGTGAAATAATTGATCAAAGCTGTAATAACAAAAAGAAGATTCATAAAATACGATATTTAAATATATAAATTAAACATTTTGTATTAGTTACTCGATTAATCAATTTCTTATTGATCCTGCCATAGCCTTGTATTGACCTCATTATTGAGTAAATTTACCAAATGTTTGCATTTGTGATTACTACTCTCATTATATTATCATTCATTCAGGACATAAATTCCTGTGAATGTCACATGCAGTAGAAAACAAAATAAATGGGGAAAAGCAAACACATGATGGTGATAAACACTTTATTCATTTCAGGGCAAACAGGATAACATTCTGTGATGTAAGTGATTTAAATTACTTTGTAAAAAGAATGAATTGGAATTGTGTTAACAATGATTTTCCAATTGGTTTACTCTAAGTAGGCCACTAATAAGAGAATAAGTTATGGCTTCTATAAACTACCAGTACTAATTAATACAAAATATGTAGGTCAAAATAAATATCACTTTCCTCTACAAATGTTTCAACATTCTTGTGACACTTCTTTGTTCCTCACTTGATTCCTTTCTATTTTTGCACATATTATACACAGGGCTGGTTCATTTAATTAGTTCTGGTTTAATACATTGAGCAAGACTAATTTATACACATAATTTACTTTATGTGTATAAAGTCAATGTTTTACCAGATGTTGTAAATGTTGAGTGCATGAGCTGATGATGCTATTCAAACAATCCTCCCCTGAAGCAGTGGTCGACTCTCTCCTGGTGACTGTCGGCTCAGCAAATTCCACAACAACAAAGGCACCGATGTCACCGCCGAGCTGCCTCCATTACCGTCACCATGGTCTTCTCTTAGTGGCTGGTACTGCTTGAATCGCCTGTTTGCAGACACAAAACAGTGTTAAGAGTTCATATGGCATGAAATAAAAGCCCAAATCTCTATCAACAGCAAAATCATACAAAGTAAACAAGTAATAAACTGGTACAAGTAAACTGTAAAATGGGAGGAAGATAGTTCTTTTAAATTTGGAACAGACATTCATGTTCCTATCAGTATGAGCTGTAAATACTTTGGTGATTCCATCATTAGGATAAAATTTCAATTTGTCCAATAATTTGGTTTAATACCTGCAAAAGTATCACTCGGTTTAACTTTTGGTCCAGTCCTTATTGGTGAATGTTAGCATGTTAACGTGCTAAACTAAGATGGTGACCAGGGTAAATATTACCTGATAAACAACTGCATGTATACATTGTTGTCAGCACGTTAGCATGCTGATGTTATCTCAAAGCACTGTTGTGACTCTGACCAGGATGCTGTCCGTTTGGGCGTTCCACAGGGATCAATCTCTGGACCTCTAACTCTCCTTAATACTGTATATGTAAATGATATGCGGCTGATGATTCAGTTCAGCTGGTTACTTCAAAAATGTATATATTGTGCATGCTGGCTTATTGACATGGCTTGTGACACACCTAAATTGAACTCAGCCATCATTACTGTTATTACTTGTGTTTTTTCTACTATTACAAGTAAAAATGTGGTCAAAATATGAAACATTTGATGCTGAGGATAAGAGTAATTGCAGTATCTTTGTTTGCAATTGATTTTCAAAAAAATTATTTTTTGGCCCCAAATTAAATTCATAACTGAAAAGTTGATAAATAAGGTATTCACCTGTACATCAAACCAATACAACAGACAACACAGACGAGAATCATAACCCCCAGGACTGTGGCTGCTGTTCCACCTGGAGAACCACCGGAGGCTGAAATTGAAACACATCACACAGATGAGAGCATAATCTATGGATTGAGTACTTTAGCGGTCCTTATGTAATTTTTCTTTCACCCACCTACTGTTACACTGACTCTTGCACTTGCCATAGCAAGACTGACATCATTGGTCAAGGAGACATTGATGCAAAATACTCCAGAGCCATTGAAGAACTGACGAAGGATAATTTGACAGTCTGGAGAGGGTGTAGCTGCACTACAGACAGTTTCCATTGGCGTGATACAGTCAGCATCTGAAATGACTGTGCAGATCTCATTTGGCAGACTGAAGGAAGGATAATAAGAATGCAGAGATGTACGTAGATACAAGGAGAACAAGCACAACTGTATATGTCATTTTCATAAACATAATACATAACAAGACATCACAAATCACAGTTTCTGTGTCTAACTAGAGGATCGTTTTGTTGATGCTCACCTTCCCTGACAGGTAATGGTGAGGTCCACAGCATTCTGGACCAACTCAGTTGCCATCGCTATAACGTTGGACATCTGTACAATCTCCACACTTTCAATACCCTCTGCAGGGTTGAAAGGTAGAAAGAGAGATTATACCACTATCAAATCATACAGTTTTTATTAAAGCAGATTATCATCGGTTTAGGTTTAAACTGCCATAGTTACAAAAACTGTATTGACTTACGGACAACATCTACAGAGGTGGCGACTGAGCCATAACGGTAGACCATGCAGTCGGCTGGTAGCTCTGGTGCTTGTCTTTTAGCCACAACAAGGGCGACCTGTGCTGGATCTGTTTCCACCTCTGCTTGAACTTCGCCCTCAGCTGCAACGGCTTCTTCAACGCCTGCTGGTTGCTCTGGAAAAACAAGTGGAATTTTGTCAAACTACTTTTCTTACAAGATCCATAACAATATAAAAAATTGTCCACTGGTTTTAGTTTGCTGTAAATTCTCACCTGCAGGAGCCACAGTAGCTGCAACTTCAGCCTCGGTATCATCAGCTGCTGCCTCTTCTACAGCTGTGGTCTCAGTGGCAGCAGGGGCCACAACGTTATCAGCAGGGGCTTCTGTTTCAGCTTGGACAACCTCTGCAGCATCAGCAGCCGTAGCCTCAGCAGCCTCAGCAGCCACAACGTCAGCTTCTTGCTCTACAGCTACTTCTGCTGCAGGAGCAGCAGTGACTGCGGCCTCAACTGCCGTTTCTTCTCCCTCTGCAACAGGTGCAACTGAAGCAGCAGCATCAATAACAGGCGCATTTTCTTCAGTTGCATCTATAACCACTGCCGTTTCATCTGCAACAACTGTATCAGCATCTGTAACAGCTGCAGCAGCATCTTCAGCAGCTGGATCAGCATCTGCTGGCTCTTCAACTGCAACTGGGGCAGCAGTGGCCACCTCAACTGCTGCTGCATCGGCAACATCTGCTTCAGCAGCAGTGTTGGCGGGATCTTGTTCCTCTGTAACAACAGCGGCGTCAACTCCTTCAGGCGCTACTGAGGCAACCTCTACTGCATCCGTGTCAGTATCAATGACTGCTTCTCCGTCCTCTGCATCAGCTGGCTGCACAGAAACAGCGAGTGGAGTGGCGTCAGAAGCAGGAACGTCCAGGGCAATTACATCTCCTCCCTCGGTTGGTGCTGCTGGGACAGCGGCAGGGGTGGAGGCCATCACAACTACTGCTGGTGCAGCAGAGGCATCCATAGGAACAACTGAAATAAAGTTAAAGTTAAATGAAACAACTGAGCAAAATGTTATTCAGACTTAGGAGAGTATAGATCTAAAAGATAAAATGTGTTTAAATTCTAACCAGCAGTGGGGTTTCCACAGCCGTTGGGGATGCTTGCCATCAGAACCACCTGAGGCTTGAAGGTCCCGACTGTGAGGTATGTGTGTGTGACGGTGAGGTCTCTGGAGATCAGAGTGCCAGTGCTGTCCCCAAAGTCCCAGCTGAAGCTGACGTCGGCACTGTTGAGATACTGGCTGGGATCATGGAGCTTGACGCTGAAAGCAATGGCTCGGTTCTGGATGAAGTTCTGGTCGTCCTGGTTTACATCATTGATTTGGGCAAGTGATATGGTGAAGGGAACCTGGTCTGAGGACGGAGTAAAAGATTTAGACCTTTAAGATGAGGATTGTAAAGAAATAACCACCTCATTTTTTTCTCAAGTTAGGTGAGAAATTGTTTGATAGGTCACCTGTGATGGCGAAAACTGTGGAGGCATAGCCGAGAGGAACGAACTTGTCTTTGCCACGGCAGTGATAGATAACAACCTCCATGTTGTAGGAGCCCAGGGGGATGTTGTCTGTACCGATAGAGAGGGAAGAGGATGGTCCGCCTGCCACCTGCCAGTAACGCCCTTGAATAGAGCAACATTGTAATTATTTAGAGTGGTCTGATAATCACAGGTAAATTTAATTGAATTCACACATTTTGGAGACACTCAAGGTGTCACTTTCATCATACTGTACATGAGATGCTACAGTTATGGTTATAAAGTTTAACAAAAAACCTGAGTTTTTATGGAAGACATATGTAAACCAACACCATCAAATTTACTTTATTATTACTTTTGACTGGTTGGGTGCTCTGCTTTGAAACAACTGCATAGGGTTAGACTTCATGACTTGTTTATCAAAACAGGTAAACAGCGATCTGAAATAAAAATAGGACTACAGTGCTAATTAAACTTGTTCCAGATAATACTATAATTATTCACAGAATAATTAAGAAAATATATTTTTCTTGAGTTGATAGCACAATTAAAACATGTAGTTTCTGCTAAAGTGTGTCTTAAGGTGATGACAAATATTCAATGTCAGAGATTAGCACGGACAAGTTGTTTACTAAAAAGGCTTTGTTTGTGATACGGCCTGGGGCTTCACTGCCTGGAGGAGAAACTTCCCCTGTATTCTTTTACAGCCCCTTTATGGTCTGTTCTTTATGGAGATTTTACAAGTTAATGTAATGTAGTCATAGCTGCATTTAGAAGGTTTGGATGTCCTATTGCAGTATTAAATACAGCTAAGGAGCAGCCTAGATTTTTTTTTTTTTAGATTTTTGACTAAATATTACAGAATTAAATATCTTTACCCCATGCCTTCCACACAAACACGTAGTGGGGTTTCTTGTCTTGGCTCCTGGTGAACGGTGTACCGTCGGGGAAAACTCCAGTTGACTGGGTGTCCTGGTCAGAATACACAGCCTGACCCTCCTGGTACTGTTGTCCTGAAAAGGTAATCGGCCATAAATTATATCAATATCAATATGAAGCAATAAAATAAGAGTTCATTGTCTTTTGTCCTATCATGATTATATACATTATCTAATTAAAAACATTTTTTCTTCTTATTTCTTGATAAGGAAAGTCTAAAAACAATATATTTTCTTTAGAAAACAGCATCAAAAACTTGAAATGAAGATCATTTTGTATTCAAATCTGTGATAAAATGATCAGCTAAAGAGGTTTGAGGATTGAGCATGAATGAAAAGTGAACCTGCAGTACCTGCCCTCAGTGGAAAGGTTTTCTTACCATTGATGGTGCAGTTCTGTGCCCAGACCACCTGCCCATCAGAGAGCGTCGTCTGGTTTGGTGGGAAGTTAAGATTGACATTGAAGGTTGCTCTTGCTCCTGTCAATGTCGGTGCGTCATTTTTCAGATCAAAAGTTACATCACCACCTGGAAAAAAAGATTTATAATCTTAATATTGACTGGCAGACAGAATATTGCAACATTTCTGTTTTGAGAAATAAAGAAATTTGGCCTCACCAAACCAGCAGTTCCTGAATCTTGGGTCTCCATCTTTCCACACCGGATACATCCGCGAGTTCCATGAGCGGTAACGCGTGAACTGACTTCTAGGCTCTGGAAGAAATATCACAAACACATTTCAGGAAAAGAAGCTATTAATTTTGCAATTTATGCTATTCTCCTACAAAATCAATGAGAAAATAGAATAAAAGGCTATTTTATTGTATTTATTACCTGAGCTGCACCTGCAAAAATGTATTTCAGTTTTCTTTGTTACTGTAGTAAAAATGATATTTATTTATTTTTTGGTGTCAGATCAATGGTTGTATACCATGAACTACTTATTTCACTAGAGTAAAAGTTATGTAGGCTGTTTAAAAGAGGCACAACTTCTCTATTATAATCAAGAAGGCTTTGGACATAATGATAGAGATGCTTATGTAAACGAGAGCAGGTCCGTGTTTTTAGTGAGGAGGGGTGAGGAGTGTCTGGGTCCTTGGCGGTTGGAGTCACACGACCTGCAATCCCCCTCAATCCCTTTCATGTGACTATCAGCTGAGCAGCAGCATCAGTAATCCCAGTGAGAGGAATGAGGGATCCCACACAACTGACTCACTGGGTTTTTTTCTCGGTTTGTGTGTGTGTGTGTGTGTGAAAGGGTTTTGCATGAAATACCCGAACAAAAACATGGCAAATAGTTTTAAATTGTACAAGTCTGAAAAGAAAACACCATTATTATTTACAGTATTCTGAATCACACACCCTGAAACATATTTGAGCTTACTTATAGTCATGAATGAACATCAGCATAAGATAGGGGGGCATGTAAAAGTTTGTATATCTTCACTCTCTATAGGAGAGTGTGGAGTGTGTTACCATGAAATAAGCGTGAAATGACAGCTCAATCTATTTGCTGTCAAATTTGTAGTCCAAACAAAGAAATACTAACATTTTAGTGTGTAATTGATAGGAAATGTGTTGATTGTGTGATTGATGTGTTGTTCATTAGTCGCAGAGAGTGACAAGTAATCACTTTCCCTGTTGCTAAACTGTGTTGGTATAAGGTGTTATGTCACACATGGCAATAATTTAAAATCAGTTGTCAAACATTGTTTCCCTTAAACATAACAGAAGAATGGTGCTAATAAGGTAATTCCACTTTATCTGTTTCTTTGGATCTTTTGTAAGAGTGTCAAATAAGACAAAAAAATTCAATGTTCGTGAAAAAATGATCAAATAAATCTTTGAAACAAGTGGTTTCTGATGGAAAAAAAGTGTACTCACTCATCGCAGTTGCAAATGTGAAGGTCAAAACCAGCAGCACCAGCACCAGAGTCCTCATCCTGTATTTCGTCGTCTGTCTCCGCTCTCTGAGCCCCGATCTTTACCCGGCAGTCCTGAACCCCAACACAACTCCCAAAGAGACTTAAGAAATGTCCTCCCACTCTCTTTAAGAAGGTTTCTTCTCACCTCTGACATCATTGTGAGTCTCAATCCGGCAACACGCCCCTTTGTAAGAACAGATATGAGTACTGTTGTGATAGCTGTTGGTGTTTTCTACAATAAATTGTTGAGTTTAACCATAGTTTTTGACATTGTTATTATCTTTTGTATTAAATGTTTAGGCCATCTGTGGTAGAAATGCTTTTACTTAATGTGTTTTTTTCACATTTACACCAAACTTTTTCTTACAATTTCTAGTAATAAATGCAATATCTCCAATGAAGCTCATAAACTTGTAGAGTAACTTAATAAAAAAAAACTCCAAAGGGTATACAGTGCACATAAATTATTCAAATGAACACAAAGTGGCAAATGTACCTCAAGGAAGACAATATTTTCTGAGCACATTATTGGAAAATCAATGGATGCTTTCTGCACAGTATAAATGAAAACGGTGTACGTGATGCCTGCTTCAGGACGGAGAGAGTGGTGAGATCTGCGTGCTAAGCTCGAGTCATGCCTGTTTTTGACATATGACCTTCGAGCTATGTGTGCACGGGCGTCACAAGAGGAGTGTGTGGGCAGCAAATCAATAGCATCCTTTTATTTCCTCAGTCATTCTTCTGTAACCTGCTGTCCACCTCAGGCTGCTGCAGATCTAAGAATCTGTGCTCGCGGTAACGCAGACACACCCATGCTCAGTTTAAGAGGCATAACATAAAGTTTCATTGAGATGAGGAGGAGAATACATTTAGAGGAATAAGCTGATTGATTCTGGAAGTAACTAAAAAACTAAAAATCACAAAAGGCACATTCTTGTCTACTAAAGCTTTGTATCACGTCTATTTCTACTTCAAATATGAGTAACATTTAGCCAAATTAAGACTTTTCAAGTCACACAAGGGAAATGACGCCAATGAATCCAGAAACAAGATATCATTGATACATCACAATTAATTATTAATCTGATTGCCTGGGTTCATGTTCTACAAAGCTGGAGAATGGACATTTGGAGCCTGCAATCCACCCTTGAAATACTCTATAGTAAAGCAGAGAGATGTTGTAAATCTAATAATATGAAAATAGTTGCTACAAAAGAGGCTGGCTTGACCAGTGTTGGTCAGGACCTCCACTATAATACTATACATTAATATCCAGATGTTGTACATGGATTTAAAAAATGAATCTGAAGAAAAATAACGCAGTATACAAGTATACAAGAGAACATTGAGTTATAAATAGGTACTAAAAATGATGTTAAAAAGTCGATGGGTGCGTAATAGCTTGTATCATGTAATTACCTTTTTGTTACTTTTTTTTAGGTTTCCTTTTTATTTTTCTTTGGACTTGTTTCATCACTGTAACTACATTTGTGTGTACATTTTAGGAATTTAATACAATTAAATAGAGAATAGATTATTGTGTAATTATATTTTACTGAGAAAAGGGGAATATATTTCTATAACAGATAAACATTTTTACTCTAAAGTCAAAGGCATTATGGGCTCTGTTATCGCAATTGGTGGTTTTCCCATTGATGTTATCTCATGCCTGCTCAGGCTGCACTACATGTGACCCCTCATGTGCTAACAGCAGAGTTCAGGAGGAAATAAATCCTTCCCACAGAGCAACTGACTTAACATACCACAAATAGTCAACGGTTAGCTTCTATCCTAATTAGTCTCCATTGTATAGTGTTTTGATAACATTGTTCCTGAGGTTCAGAGAATTTCTAGAATTAACAGAGTTGTATTTCAGACTGTTGAAGTCATTGGAAGTAATAGAAAATCTGGCAATTTTATTACTGCTCACTTTCTAGGAGTATTAATTTAAGTATTAAACAATGGGTTTCACAGACTGGTTGGATAAGATTGCAATTTTTCGGTAGTTTTCTTCACAGCAAGCCAAAATTAAATGATTGTACACTATAAGATAAGGGAATAATCTAAATAATTGACTTGTGGAACAGCCTTAACGTTAGTGTGACAAGTAATGGAAGGGCATACAATGTAACATCAGGACCACAGTTAACCTTGGATGTCTAAAAATTATACAAACACAGAGCCTGTCCTCCACCTGCAGTCACACACACTGACAACCCTTCTGTCTGTTTAAACAATAACTCACGGACAAGATTGTGTTTTATTATAGGCCAAAAGCCATAGCAATAAGGTCATCTGGTTTGTAAAGTGCTAGAACAAGATCAGACCAGACAGGGAAATAAAGTTAACGAATACAACGAGCATAGCAGTCATTTGGTGCATCCACAAGGCGTAAACAAATTTCCCTAATTTTTGTCAGTGATCCTAATTCCTTCTCTTTGTTGGTTGTTTGAGTTCCTCATGGCCACAAACACCAGCATTCTTCTGCAAACACAATTCAAAACTTTCAGTCATAGGATACGTGACAGAAATAGTCGTCACTTCACATAACTGCTGGTTGGATGCACGTCAGGCCTCTGGGCTTTGATCATGTGCAGTGCTGGTAAGAGCGCCTCTAACAGAGGCTGTTTCTTCATGCAGTAACAGATGACATCCAATGCCTCATGACCACCCCTTTGTCTTTTTCACAGCACACATTTTGACTTGCTATAATGCACAGGTGCTACTAATAGCATTAACAAAGGCTATCTGTATTCCAGAAAGCCACGACAGTGTGACAACGAGCCAGCCAGCCTTCACAATACCAGGACCCTGAAACTGGAAGCCCTAATTTCATTATTTATACCTGTAATTTTCCTACTGACATGCCAGCTTGATTCTGACTGGGGACCTATAATGCACGTTGCCCAAAGAAGTTTCATAGGGGGCCCAGCAGCTCCGTGGTCCCGTTAATGGTTAATCAATCCCTTGAAGGCACACAAAGCCACTTCGCATGATGGGAGTGAAACATGTGATGTGAAACCATCTTCTTCACAAGGATCATTTAAAAAACAGTGAATTGCTGCAACATGTTGTAATGATTGATGGAGTAGAGACATCTTGAATGTTATGGATTTCTCCAGTGCTTTTCCTGCTGTAACAAGTCAAAATGTCTGCTGATGTCTATGATTCTATTTTGTCTGGCTTCAACAGAGGCGCATGATCGAATTCCAGAGAGGGAGTGCACAGCTACACTACTGCCAGTAGAGGGAGAAACGGTATTTGTCCTTCATTCTGTGCCTTTCAGTACACAATTACATTACATTACATTATATTACATTACAGTCATTTAGCAGACGCTTTGAAACATGGGGCCATTTAGTACATTATCTGACATTCAGAAACATACCAGACTGCATAGTTACGGTGCAAAAAGTATGCAAACATAAACAAAACTGCTTGTCTAACCTATATATTGTGTGACCAATTGATATATGGAACTGAATAATACCTTTTTATTTATATATATATATTTTCCATATTTATATATATATATATATATATATATACACAGTATGTGTATATATAAATGTGTGTATACAGGTATAAATATATGTATACATATTTTCTGTTGCTATTTTATTGTATTTTTCCGTTCTTGAAATATATTTCATGTACCTGTTTTATTTGTGGTATAGCACAAGAAGTTTGTACTTTTGCTCTTTCACGTCAACAAAAAACCAACAGACCGCTTTTTTATTTGCTGCCACTTCCGTCTGTGACGTTGATGACGTAAAACGTCATCGTCGTGTCACAGTTTGACCGGTGAGGTTTGCTTGTTGGCTGTTTGTGTCTCTCCCGGTTTAACATGACTCCGTATCTGGACTACTAACGAACCAAGAATTGAAACTCAACTGACAGTATATATTTTTTAAAACAATGACATCATTGTCCTTACTTGTCGGCACCAGTGTCCCTCACAACGACTCCTAAAGGAAAGAGGCTTTGAGCTTAACCCCCCCCCCCCCCCCAGAACCATCCGTCGGTGTGTCGTGAACACAAAAACGAGCGCTACTGTAAAGTAACGCGGGAAATGCTCTTGCGTTGGTTCAGTGCTGAGGGGCAGCCGCTAATACGCATCCTTACTGATATCATCATTATCAGAGACAATAAATGACCTGACACCACAATCCAACGTTTACGCTCTGATCTAAAAAACCCCAAAACAAAGTACCGTTGACAGCTGCTCGCAGGCTGTATCCGGTCCGTTAGAACCGGGAGGTGAGACAGTTCATTATATGCTGCAAATCAACGTTTGTCTCTGTAGCCACTGAGCACTCGTTAGCTCACACACAAAGAGGGGAGTCCTGCTAACGAGCTAAACAACCGCCAGACATCCTGTTACTGGTGATTTGAAGGAAGAAGAAAAACAATGGACACGTTTCAGAAGGTGGAAAAGATCGGAGAAGGGACGTATGGAGTGGTTTACAAAGCGAAGAACAAAGTCACCGGAGAAACTGTTGCTCTCAAGAAGATCCGTCTAGACACGTAAGTTCACTCGTAGTGTCGGTTCATCATCAAGCTAACGCTCTCTGTTGCTTTTACGATGCTGCAAATGTGATTAAAGTGTGCTACTCTGCCATCAGACTCTTGTTTTACATTAAAGCTGGGGTTAATCTTTCCTCAACCACCAGCTATTAAACTGTAAATGCACATACTGTTCACATTATGACATTCTACACATTTTACTGCAGCTATTTAACTTTGATTGAGGACATAAGACTATTTTTTTTTGTAGTGAAGTTTCATTTTTTCGTGGCCTGTGAAAAGCAGCAAATACATGTCCAATTATTTAAGTCCACACTAAGGCATTAATATGTATTGAAGGGTCACAAGTAGTCATCGCTTCATTATAAGGGGTGACAGGGTCACGAGCCAAAAAAATGTTTAAGACCATTAAATATATATGTATTAAATATTTAACTGTGGATCTGATTGTTGTGTCGGTGCACTGTGCCATTACAACATGCTTCCTTTATGTAGGCCTTAAAGATTGATCATTGTTCGTGATATTAGTTTGCACCCATGCAGTGTCAGGGAGCAGGATGTCCCCGGCTTCAGCAGGTGGCATCACTGCCTCACTTCATCCTGTGTTTCCTGCAGTGATGTATACGTGCAGTGCAGTACAAGAGCGAGATTGAACAGCTCTCGTCGTCTCTCCCCAAAGTTATTTTGTCTCTTAAGTTGCCTTTGACGGTTTGCCCTGTGAATAAACACAAAATATAGAATATAAGGATTAAAACGTCTTATTGAAACAACCAAATATATATTGTGTAATAACCAAGCTGCAGTAAATGGCATTAGAGTAAAATAGTATAACTTGAGATAAGTGAATAAGCTTCAGTAACATAATCATTTGCCGTGTTTTTCCTTCAGGGAAACAGAGGGTGTTCCCAGCACTGCCATCCGAGAGATTTCCCTTCTCAAAGAACTCAGTCACCCAAATATCGTCAAGTAAGTGCCTGATGTTACAGATTGTTAGCTAAACCCTGTTTGCAAGTTTCTCGTTTTACTTGGTTCTGTCCGTTTTTTAAGCCAACCTGCCTTGTTGACATGTTTCAGACTGCGTGATGTCATCCACACCGAGAACAAGCTCTACCTTGTTTTTGAGTTCCTTCATCAGGATCTGAAGAAGTTCATGGACTCCTTCACAGTTGCTGGTATCCCGCTGCCTCTGGTTAAGGTAAATGTCAGCTAGTGTTTTTGCAAAACAGATTCTTTCTCACTTCCTCCAATACATCAAGACTAGTCTCTGGAGGTGACTTACCTGGGTGTGTGTGTGTGCGTGTGTGTGTGTGTGTGTGTTTTGTAGAGTTACCTTTTCCAGCTGCTGCAAGGCCTGGCCTTCTGCCACTCTCACAGGGTTCTTCATCGAGACCTGAAGCCCCAGAACCTCCTCATCAATGCCCAGGGGGAGATCAAGCTTGCTGACTTTGGCCTAGCGAGAGCCTTCGGGGTGCCTGTCCGCACATACACACATGAGGTACCGTGTATACACACACACACACACACACACACACACACCCAACAGGCTTCGTCAGTTATATAGTCAAAAGTGCATGTTCATTACCATACCGCAGCAGCAAAATGCACTCCATCATGCTTCCTCTTAAGTGAATTCAGTATTGTGATATAGTCAAGAGAGAAACCTCTCACAATAACAATTGAATCCAGGGTTAATTTCTTCCTGAGAAAATTGCGTTTTCCTAAATACAAACTGCTTCTGTGATATTTTTCAGGTGGTAACACTTTGGTACAGAGCACCTGAAATCCTCCTGGGCTGTAAATACTACTCCACAGCTGTCGACATCTGGAGTCTTGGGTGCATCTTTGCTGAAATGGTAAATTTGCACTAGGTTTCATATTTTACAATCAGCGTATCTGTGAATGACTGAAGCCTGCACATGATGCACACGGATCAAATCTAACAGACTCCCCTCACTGTCCACTGTTGTGCAGCTCACCAAGAGGGCCTTATTCCCCGGCGACTCGGAGATTGACCAGTTATTCCGAATCTTCCGAACGTTGGGGACGCCCGACGAGACCACCTGGCCGGGAGTCACATCAATGTCCGACTACAAACCATCTTTCCCCAAGTGGGCCCGGCAGGATTTATCCAAAGTGGTGCCGATTCTTGATGAGGATGGAAGAGAACTGCTCGGAGTGAGAACCTTTGTCAATAATTCATGAATTCAATTAGCATTAATGGCCTCTGCGAAGGAAGTTGGTCTTGTGTGTTTGTTTCTGTGTTAGTCAGCAAGATCCAAAGGTGACAATGAGATGTATGTTAGAGTTGGTTGAAAAGAGTCAAAGAGCATCAACTACTGCGCTGAAATGCAACAAAACCAGGCACATGTGTCCCAGGATATAGTCTGTTCATTTGGATGAAGATCCAGATGCAGATTACAAGCTGTGGCAGAAGTACACAACTATGTCTTAGTTTTTATTTTTTATTTATTTTTTGTCCTTGCAGGAAATGCTGAATTATGACCCAAACAAAAGGTTGTCTGCCAAGAACGCCCTCGTACATCGATACTTCCGCGACGTCACCATGCCAATCCCTCATCTGAGACTCTGAGTCATCAGTCCATTTTAATGCAAGCAATAAGGACCTCCTCGCCACGCCTCATAACCACGACTGGAATGGACAGAATAAGTGGACACTACAGGATACGTTTGATCCTTCAATGGATATTTGTTAATACCTAAAACCAGCTTTGTAGCCGATAGACGTCCTGAGAGTTTGGCTGTTTTTTTTCAGCAGCGATGTTATAATAGTTCTGAACGTTTAAACTGTAATTTTCAACCTAATTATTTTGCATATATTTCTGTGCAACTGCCATTTTTGATGTAAATGTCAATTAGTGATTGGGAGTTGAGAGCGCAGGTCAGGTCGACTCAATCTAGTAGTCTGCCGTTATATTTCTCATGTTTAAATGACACGTTGGCTTTAAGGTGTCCAAATTTAAGTAGTCAAGTAGTTAGAATTAAACATGATAGACTAAGTTTGTGGGATAGTGCAAATAACAAATGTCATGCTTTGTGAGACTGGGCAGCGGCTGAATGAAAGACGTGAGTGACGGTCGTCACACAGCAGTTTGTGCTCAAAGAACCACGAGACCACAATCGTGTTCGTTGAGGTTGATTTTCTAGCAGTTTAATTCTTTACCTTTTGTGTCTAAATTATCTTGAAGTGACTTCATAACGGCACCTTTGGTTGTTTGACACACAGAAATGTTTATCGGTCGTTGAGGTTTGCTGGCAGGATTTGTTTTTTACCAAACAGAACTTCTTTGTACAGTTGTGATATACAAACGTTCCCTGTTGAAATTCAGATTTTACAGAATTCAATATGCTGTTGCATCTTTCTGACTCTAGATTTTATTCAAATGTAATGAACCTTTTTTATGGATATTGTTTATTTACAGTTTGCAAAAATAAACTTGTCTAAACAACTGTTGCTGTTTATTTGTGTGTGTGAGGATGATTTTGGTGTTAAGTGAGTGATGGTTTCTTCTGTTCTGGAGCCAAGGGAAACATTTCCAAGTAGTTTTTTTTTAGACTCAAACACCAGAGTCAAAGGCCGTCTCACATTGTTAAATCAAGTTCCTGTTACAATTCACTTATCTCTGGCTGCTGCACGACCTCACACACCGACCTCTACAGTTGGCTGCTCGTCACATTAATGAGGAATGGTTTTGTTAATCCGTTCAGTTGCAATTTCCTGCAGCCGAGACGACCCGATAATGCCAGTGATGAGGTAACAACTTACTGTTTTAATTCTCAGTCAAATTATGCAAAGTAATACATAACAGTGGATTGTTTAGGAATTCTAGGAAAAGTATGGAAAAAGTGATATTTCAATTGTTTTCAAGATAGAAATGTTGAAGTTTGTTAAATTATTAAGTTTGACGATGAACTGGTGGTGGAGGGCACATCCAAAAAAAGATTTCAACAAAAAATTATATTATATAATTTATATATATCATGCTCAGGGGATCTAGAATTGCACATAATTTGCAACGGCTCTCTGCCTCGTCTCACGGTCCGGTTATTGCGGTTATGATATTCCTGCAGAGGGAAAGAGTAGAAATCATTCGTGTGTACGTTTATAATATATATAACCTTATTTTTCATTCTCTTTCTTCTTTTTTTAATGTTTTTTCAAATATTTTCTGTCTATCGGCATTATGAGCACCAAGAAGCTATATGCTTGGCAGCGCAGTCAGGGCTGCATTTCACCCTTTGAAGATGTTGTAAATTTCCCCACTGCGGGACTAATAAAGGATTATCTTATCTTAGATCTACACAGTTTATTTTTGTCTTTTTAGTGTATTAGCAGCCGCTAAAGCCGCACAGTCCTTTTGTGAATTTGCCCCTTAGTGTTTTAAGTGTAATGTTTATCGTTCTTGGCAAACTGTTAGATATTTAAAACACTCATTTCAGAGTTTGAAATCTACTCTTTCTGCTCTAGTAGCCAGGATCTCTTAAACTTTCTAAGCATGTGAATTACCCTGGAAAAAGCTGCACAAAAGACTCCAAACAACGAATTACAGTAGGTGCTCCAATGAAATATAAACAGACCTACAACTAAATACGTTTTTATTAGTCACGCCGAATTTAGACGTCATGTCAGTTCATGCAGGTCAGCTTCAAGAAACAAAGTTGAAATCAAGAAAAGATGTACAGTAACAGAACGTCAGCACAGAAAATCAAAATCACAGAGAAAGTAATGTATTGCTTTCTGCCACAGTGTCGTTTTTGATGCTACCACTGAGGGCGACAAAGTCTAAAATCATTCAATCTTACACATAGTGGCTTTAATATGTTTGTATCTTCTTTTCTGTATATGACAGACTTCTTGCATTAACAGTTGTACTTTTATTATCAAAATGAACAATAATTAGAGGCAGAAAGCATAGATGAAAATGGGAAAATTTGCATATTATAAGCAAACAGTAGGAAATCGATATGTTATATTTAGATATAAATTAATAAACAATTGCATTATATTAGATGTATAGTTGAAAAGTGGTGCTTTTTTTGGTGATTTGATTTGGTAAAAATTGAAAACCACAAAATACGTATGTGCTCAACTTATGAGAAAAATTCATCCCATGCATAAACTGAGAAATATGACAGCACTAGCCAGCTAGCTGTTTCATGCAGGTATCCTAATATCCAAGTTATGTTTATTGCAGCTCTGAGGTTGCCCGTCATCGTGACAACATTGTTGTGGTAGCATTATACCTGCAACACCATAGTACTTACTTTGATTAGGATAGTTCTTGATTTTTTTTTAACAATGTACCAGAAATGTTGAAAGACTGATTAATAAATAAAGCTCCAAGATGAAATTTGAAGCATAACTAAACAAAATGTTTATTTTTAATGCTATCTTCTGAACTAGGGGTTATATATACTAAACATATAATATATACTGTAATATAATATATACTGTGTAGACACAGTATATATTTTTATGCATCCAGCAATGCTACCAAGATGTATTAAAAAGTTATTCATACGGCAAAATTACATGTAAAATAGAAAAAGATGGACGGATTGTGACAGTTAGATTAAAGTGAGCAGTCAGGTAAATTCTACCAATTTAAAAGCATAATATTTGCAGCATGAACAAAAAGAAACAAGCTTGAGTGATTCAAAACAAAAGATCGCAGGCAAGTTGACAAGTAGACACAGATATGACTGAGACAAGTGAATTCTGATTAGAAATAAGTGTTTGGCAGCGATGACAAACTGAAATCACGTGATACCTTTAAAAATGAGAAAATATGTCAAACATTCACATCTGAAAGTGTGAAAGTATACAGATACACTTCTACGATCCAGCACTTTTGAACCTTTTTAGGCTTTTGGAGACTTAAAGCCCACACCAGTGATATTGCATGTTTAGTTGATTCACTACAAATCACGAATACTTCACATCACTTCTGATCATGTTGCATACGGAGTGTTTGGACTTTTGACAGTATTGACTTTATTTTTCTAGCCTTCGTTGTTGTCCATTCATTTTCGCATTGGTATGAAAATCAAGTTGCAGACTCTTGAAACTATCTTGAGATGTCACAGTGCACACATTAAAAAAAATACATCTGTAATTGTTAAGGCTTTTCAAATCAGTCTGGACTTTAACGGTCAGGTCACAATAACTAAAATTAACTTGACGGTCACTGTATTCCACAGTTAAAGTAAGTTTCAAGGGGCACATTCAAAAATCTTAAATCCTCCAGCATGCATTTAAAATGCTCAGCAGTAATATTTAGTTCACGTGTTTTGTAGTTGAGGAGCCAAAACTTGTAAAAAAAAAACACTGGTATGGTACTTTTAGGGGGTTTGTGGTATTTGTGGGAAGATGGTGCGGTGTTTTATTTCGTTTAAATCTCTAGTTTCTTCTTCATGATAAGCTTGTACAGGATCTGGTAGCCATCATCCCAGGCATAGAGAAGCTGCTCCTGCGGGTTGTACTTCAGACTGGAGTGCGATCCGTAACGCTTTGGGAAGTAAATCAGTGGTGCGTCTTCGTTGGTCACCATACCATTGACGTCAAACACACACTGGACACGTGAGCGACCGGGCTGCTTGGTGTTGTACGCTACATACAAAGTGCCACAGATGACAAAAGCCGCCTCCGCGTTCTCTCTCGGACAGTTTGTGTCCCACATTTGCTCGATGTCCAGCGAGGTGGCGTCCATTTTCGCCAGAGAGATGTACCTCTCGTTCTGCCGCGTGGCATAAATGGCCCACAGGCCTTCCTCGTCCACAGCCAGGTCCATCACTGTCTCCGGGGTCAGGCCGTACACTGGGACATGGTCCTGCAGTGGGAACACTGTGCTTTCTGTCACAGAGCTGTTCTTCATGTCAAATTTAACAATCATTATCTCTTCAGCCAGAGTTATATAATACGCGTAATTGTTGAAGACAACGTGTCCTGTTCCCCTCCAGGCAGACGGCAGCTTTAGGTTCTTGGACAGAGTAATGCCCAGCGAGCGGGAGAAGTCTTGCACAGAGGAAAACTCATGGATGGTGTCTTCATCTGTCCCGTTAAAAATGTAGACCTTCCCAGAGCCTCTGTTGGTGTCTTTGGTCCACATGCCCTTTGGCCCTCCGACTCGCTTCAAGATCTTCATGGCTTTTATGCTGGAGATCATGTCGCTGCAGTCTGAACAGGAGAGAGCGACAGGCTTTACATGACAGGTGTCGCAGACATGTTAACAATGTTTAGATTTTTACTATCATTTAATTATATCAGTTGTTAATTGCAAAGCTCAACATTTTAGGGAATATAGGAAATATAAAACATCTTAAATCTCTTGCAAAAGCAAACACGTAATTCAAAACTTCTAAGTCTTCAAAATAATATATTTTTGGATGAGTTAGTGGTTTCAATAAATGTGGCTCAGGTACCAGGCTTTGTGTCTTGGCTGTGTAAAAACTGTAGGTAGGTACGTGTGGGACGTATAGTTGGGGAAAGCGTTTTCTGTCTTGCTGTTGTGTTTTTCACTACAGGGCCACCGTACCTCACACAGGTGACAGAAAACACTTTTTTGGACTTTTGAAAACTTATGTGTGATAAAACAATGTGATTCTAAGAAACAAGTTAGTCAGTCTACATATCAACAAAGCCGAAAGGAGAATGGGCTTTTGTTTAGTCATTGACTCACCAGTGAAGTGTTTGTGTGGAATATTATCACCAATTAATACACTTCAAGTAGTTGATAAGTGGCCTATCAATACTAACTGTTACATTATTAGAGACTTGAGGATTTGCTTGCTTTTTTCCATTTAAATTTACTCTGGATTGAGTATGTTGAGTCTTTGTTGTTGGTCAGACAAAGTATTTTCAGGTTCATCCTCAATAAAACACAGTGTTTATTCTGATAGTGCAGTTCAAGCACATCATATCTCACCTGATAGCTTTGAATACTTGGCCTTCTGCTTCTCCTTCACCAGCGTCACCTGCTGCTCTATCAGTTTGTCGTCCACGTCCACACACGGCTGAGCTCCGTTCTGAGTCTCCAGGTAGTCCAGCTCACGCTCTACCCGATCCACCCTCGTCCCCACACCGTCCAGATTCATTCTCAATGTCTCTTTCTCTTTATCCAGGTTCTCCAGCTGGGAAACCATCTGTTGCTTCAGAGCCCGCAGCTCGGAGGCGTAGCGGGCGGTCTGTTCATGCCACAGAGAGATCCGGTCCTGTTTTTAAAAGAAGGAGACACAAATTAGTTGGTCACTATTGTTCCCCTTTCATCTGTTTATACTTTAGTAATGTAATGTGAGCAATACATGATGTCTGTTTTACAGGAACTGTGACTGCACTTCTAGAAAGCTTAGAGGAGGCCATCATTTTATGTTATTTTCAGGCTCAGTAATTAGACTGGGACAGAAGGAGATAATAAGTAGGACACTCATCCTTCAAACAGCCAGGTTCAGCCCACACATGGCAAGTTTCCACCCTGCTCAAATGTCTTTTTAGCAAAACACTAAGTCCTAGCGGCACGCTCTGTAGCAGATCCTCACCTTTGACCTCTCTGTGGAGGAGGAAAATGTCTCTCTACAGGTGATCAGTAAAGTCTGACAGCACACTACAGAGTAAAACAACTATGGGATGTGGATACAAAATATTTTGAGAGAGTTCTGTTTAATAATATATAATAGAGGGATTAATAAAATACTTCTAGTGAAGTATGTTAAAGTGACTTTATCCTAGAACATTAATATTTTCATATAAACAAAACCACAATATGAGAACAGAACAAGAAGCTCATACAGTGAGCTGTATTTTCCAGCATTTTCCCCAGGATTTGCCCACATCTGCATTCCATTGCCTTTGCCCCTTCCTGGAAGTTTCCTCTCAGAGGGACTCAGGAGCGCAGGGCTCGGCAGGGAGGTAAAAGGAGTCTTACCTCAATAGCGAGCAGCCTTCGCTCCAAGTAGTCAATCAGTGCTTGGTGCTGGGCGGTGGCAAAGCAGGTCAAAGTAACCAAGACCAAGACAACAGGTCCTCTCATTTTGTGTCAGCTCAGTCTCTTTAGCTCCTTGAGTTGAGTGAGAGTGTACTGGGGAGGCAGCAGATTCCCAGAGGTGGGCTGGAATGTTTTAGTAAGCTATCTGGGAGGAGCCAAATACATCTGGTGAAGATGGAGGCACACAGTCGCTAAGAGAGACGAGACACTGGTTTCTATTTTTACATCAGCTTTTAAACGGTTTAAAAAAATAAAAATACATATGATATATAATCTGATGTTTAAATGTATGTAATTATTTTACTCAGAACACATGACAGTAATGTGGCACAGGACCAAACGTTACGTAAGAAGAGGAAGCGTAATGTGAGTGGGAGTCAGGAGTCAGTGAGGCACTGTACTCCTGTGTTAAGGGGAAGACCATCGACTGTAGATTTGAATCAACTACATTAAACTCTCTAACAATGTAGTAATGACCTATTCTGTGTATCACGATATTAACTATTCTAACAGATGAATTCCTTAAATGCTGTCTTGAGCTCTAATCCAAACAGGTAGCTTTATTCTGAAAGGTGAAAGTAGGCTTATAATGTGCTTTATTTTGACATGACATAAAACATTGATGCAAACATATCCAGATGTTTGGATTAGATTTGATAAAATAGCGTTATTAATCCTAAAAAGGGAGGTCGGTTGCCAAGAGGTCACATCTGGCAACAACAAACAATGCATTTAATACAATCGATCATTTCATAACTAGAAATCTGACCATGAGTTCTACACTACCCGTATCTCAAGAAACAGAAGCATCATGTCATTCAAATGTTTCACAACTGAGGTACAAAAGAGAGGGGAAGACCTTAAAACGTGAGTATTGTTTGAGCTGTCATGTGAACCAGTGGTGGACTTACTCAAAATAATATGTGAAACATTTGTAGGAAGTTTAATATATTTATATATATACTGTATACTTATTTCTTTGTCATGTTACATCAATGTCTGCAGTGTTTTCCAGCTGTGTCTACCTACAGGAACAGTTGTAATACTGAATGTCTGCAGCTTAACAAAAACAGTAGTTAGTTTGGCGAGTAGTGAATTACTGGGGAAATAGGACACAGTGTCTCTGATCTCACCCGTAATTATGAGACCACCTTGCTGTAAAAAAGTCAGTAATGACATCACTGAACACCTCTTTTTCAACAAAGCTGGCTTTATTTGGTTTGCTAGTTAGCTCTGAAACTCAGACTGTGCTCATGCTATACTTAATACAATAATAGGCCTATTCTTCCTGTCTTTTAAAGTCTGACAGGGTTGTGATTCATTTCATTTTCGCTGTATTGAACAAGATTACATAATATTCGGTATAAACACATTTGTGGAGGAGAGACTTGAAGTAAGAAGTTTTTTATATATATGTTTGCATTAACTATTGCAGTCAGTCTTTGATTCATGCTCTCTTGTATGATTTTATGTAAATTACACCATCTGAACCTGAAGTGGTAAATCGATTTTGCAAATCAAAATAGTATTATTTTCATTCTGTACAAACTACAACGCCATAGTTTTGCATTTTCTTTATTTCAGCACCACGGCAGAAAGTCTCCCTACACACGGTCCTTTGGTCCCATCACACCAACAACATTTATCAAACTACAGTTAACAGAAAGCAAACAATGGAATGTGTAAATCATCAAAATCAGTGATGAAAGCCATGCATAGATGCATGTGAAGTGTGGTGGGGAAGTGTTGATAGTGCAAAAACAAAAGCCACCGATGCAGGGTGGATGTCAGCCAGGGAGAGGCTCAGGTGAGTTTAATCAAGCTAAAGACGCTGCTGATGTTGGCCAGGTCACAACTGACAGCGTGGCAGCTTTCATCCTCGTTATGTCACTAACTGATGCAAACACACCATGAAGTGTTAAAGATGACATCTGCTCTGCACTGCTCGGTTATGCCCTCAACTCTCATCTGTCCAAGACATTCTTCTAAATAAAGGAATATAAAAGACAGCTTTAAAAAGTTAAAAGAAAATAGTTCACTTTAAATAAGAAAAGATGTGTAGCCCATTGTACTGGGTGTATCCTGCCTCATGCTTGTTTATTGGCTCCAGACCACCACAAACCTGAGCAGAAAAAGCAGTTTAGAAAATCAATCAAGGAATGGAAAAACATGTGGCAGGGTCAGAGTTTACTATATTATATAATATTCAAAAATCATATTTTAAAATATTCTATACTCTTGGATAAATCCATCTTTCTACTTCAAAGGGTTACTCGAGCTATCCACAGATATATATCTACAGCAGGCTTTGTAGTACTGGTGGCAGTTAAAATAAAACTTAGACACGTAAAATTGAACGAGTGCGCCTTAAAACCTTGAAACATGACTTGAATGATAACAAAGCCCTGCTGTGGTGTGTAGAACAATACGATAAATAAAAGACATTGCTACGTAGAGGATTTAAAGTTCGCTAACTATGTACATTTACATTTTTAAGTCTTTTTACAGATTTATCTTTACAATAAAAGTTGCTGATAATAAATGAACTTGCCATGAGATCACACTAAGCCCATGAAGATGTGTGTGAGTGTACGTCCCAACTTGATGATGGCTTTAACAAAACGTTGAAATCACTCATGTTGAAATCCTCTTGGCTTGTTGCAATGCCCCTAAGAAGTGGATGGTTTATCTTCAAATAAATATTTTATCAAATAAAACAACAAATATGCCCTCACCTCTGATGAGGTCCAATGACACCTTCTTCAAATCCAAGCTTTTTCCCTCCTACCAACAAGTGTGCAGTGTTGTTACTCATTTGTAAATGTGACTGTGGCTCTCAGGCCATCTGATCTTCATACACACGACTGACACCACTCATGATGGTGCTGTTTAATGCTGCTACAACTGAAGGTCTATTGTTTTGGTCATTATTTACAATACAGTCATTCTAATTCTTGGTAGTACGAGGCGAATTTATGACTCTAGTTTATTGCACTTTGTTCCATCATTGCTTAAGGTTTGTTTGTATAAGCATGGTCTCATTTGAATATGCGTCTTTTTGTTATTTATTCAGTGATTCTATATTCAAAACTGAGCATACAGGCCTACAAGTTGCTATAACAACCTGGATGTATATGATTAAAAACAGGATAAGCTGACTATTAATGACATAGTTGGTAATGTTAGTCGGTAACATAAACATGTTTCTGGGTAGTGACTGTGTTTGATGATAACGGAACAAACATTTGTTATTTATCATTAAAAACTCTTGTTTTCATATGAAAGTAACTGATAGAGAATTAGGTATTATGTCGTTTAAAGAGACTAGTGGAAAGAGATTCATAATGTTTGTCAAATCTCTGAGTGGTGAGAAAAATGTATTCAGAAGTAGTCGGTGCATTCACCTCGTAAATCCTGACATGTTTTTCCTTACATGATGAATCATTAGCCGTTCTGTCCCTCGTATCACTCGGTATCAGATCAGAACCAAATGCTGTGGTTTCATTCACCCCTGATAATGCGTTTGATGTACTTGTGTTGGGGAAGCTTGGAGCTGGTGTCCAGTCTCTATTTCATTTTTAAAAGAGTATTCCATAGACTTAGCTTTGCTATTCTATAACATTGTTGGACTCACGATGGTCAGTTTATTAAGAGAAAAGGTTCAAATGAAGGCAGCAGCGGAATCATCATCTTTTTTCCCCCACATATTCCTCTGCTTATTACCCACAATGCAACAAGTCCACCGACAGTTCAACCTGAGATTAGTATGTTGTTTTGCTAGCAGCAGCTAATGTAGCCTCGAGCCGCTTACCTCAAGCACACGATCTACAGAGGTCAGGTCAGCTCACTTCGTTCTAGCTCTACACCTCCAGATTGTTTTTTTTTTTTTCAAACTTGTCTTCAGGCTCAACTGATGCTGACTCTAGTGACATCTTGAGTCAATTTATCAGACATCACACAGTTCCTTCTGCAGCCACAAAAGTTTTTATACAACTTTTCTCACATCTACAGTACAAAAACCTGTGAACAGACTTTGTGATGTTTAAAGTCTTCCTTCAAAACAAAATACATGTAATTTAGTATTTATTCTGTATTTCATAAAAATGTCTTAATGTGAGTGTGTGTTCAGACCCAGGGCCACACCTTTGTGCTAACTGTTGCCTTGTCTCCTTCATGTCACCGAACAAACCCATCTCACAGAGGTGTGTCGGGGTCAGAGTAAAGAACAACAAGGCCTGACCTCGTCTGCTTCAGTGTGTATGTGTAGAAGTTCACATTATCGTCATCATATTCATAGCATGCACAGCAGATATACAAGATATATAATACTACTAAAAGGAATGCTAATATTACTACTAAAATGAATTTAAACATATAATCATTGTTATCTTTATTCTTTTCAGTGGCTATAATAATTCATGTGCCATACCATTCTTGTGAAACCCATTAACACAAAGTTATTATTGATAGACAATCTTTCAACCAATAGCTGTGCATACATCCATTTATGGCGTGAATATGGTTGTACAGGGTATGGTGACAAGTTGGCGGTGATTACTGTGTGTGTTTGTGCATTTGAATATGAGTCAATCCTTCCTTTCAGCACATTTGCCTACAGGATTTTGTGTTTTCCTCAGTGATTGGGTAGAACACTGTGAGAGGTCCTGAAACATGCAAACACAGGCAAATGTTTTAGGGGCAGTGAGGGGAAGAGGATCGAGGGCCTTCTGTTATCAGATTGCAGGGAAGTCTTCAAGAGGACAAGAATACCAGGTATGTTCTGCTGGATAATATATAAATACATCCAAATATAAATATATAAATTATGAGATTTGATCAAGTTGGCTCGTTACAGGTATGCTACGAATCTTATGTTGTGCAGTTTATCAAGAGAAAAGAGACTAAAGAGGAAAATGTTTTCAAATAATGTCAAAATGTGTGTTGCTGTAGGTCTGTACTGAAGGAAATTGTATTTAATGTACCAAAAAAAATGTGATTTGATAATGATCTCCTCTTCTAGAAAAAGAAAACAAAGCAACAAAAGTGCACAAGAGCCACTGAAACCGAGTGCATCCGAGCAACATGGAGCACACATTCAGAGCAGTAACTCACAGCTCTGGGATCATAATCTGGAGAATCGAGGTACTTTGATTTCACAGTATGACGCAACGCTTTCTATAGACTGAAGTTTTCCCAAATCAGGTGTTTGGTTTCATGGGAAAAGGAAAAAAAAGTCTGCTACTTCTGGAGTAAATGACTAAAACAGCAGTGATGATGTGGGGAAAAAAGAGATTGAGGAATACCGGTTATTAGATATAAGATGTAGATATTTTGTTTTTTCTCTCTCTCTGTGCAACAGAAAATGGAGCTGGTACAAGTCCCTGAGAAGTCTTATGGAAACTTTTATGAGGGTGACTGCTACGTACTTCTGTCTGTAAGTCTGAGAAGGTCACTATTTGTGGTTTTGGGTGCTGTGGCTGCTTGTTTGAAAAGTAAAGTCCACTGTTGTATTTGTAGACTTTGTTTAATGCAGCAGAAACAAAATGCTTTTGTCTTTTAATATATCAGATGACATCCTGGTCTGCACATCACCCCGCACGCTCTGTTTCTCCTCTCTCCACAGACCCAGAAGGTGAGCAGCTCTCTCTGTTATGATATCCACTACTGGATCGGCTCACACTCCACTCAGGATGAACAGGGTGCAGCTGCTATTTACACCACACAGCTCGATGAATTTTTGGGTTCCACTCCGGTCCAGCACCGCGAGGTTCAGAACCATGAGTCTGATGCCTTTAGGGGCTACTTCAAACAAGGAGTAATGTCAGTGAAAATGTTGGTACAGAAGTCAATCGTGTTATAGACAGTGAAAGAAACCCTAATAATCATCATCCTGTCTTGTTTAGCTGTAAGAAAGGTGGAGTTGCATCAGGCATGAGGCACACTGAAACCAACAGCTACGACGTTAAGAGACTGCTTCATGTCAAAGGGAAGAAAAGAGTGATTGCAAATGAGGTGCGTCGCACTTCACAGTGGTTATTTAACATTATAGGACATTATGGGACGTCAGGAAGAGAGAGTGCTTTATGTTTTAAATTGTTTCAGGTGGAGATGAGCTGGAAGAGCTTCAACCTTGGAGATGTGTTTTTGTTGGACATTGGCAAGACCATCGTTCAGTGGAACGGACCCAAGTGTAACAAACAGGAAAAGATTAAAGTAAGATTTATGTGACTGCATGGGTGTCTGTGTTAAGTAGGGAAAAAAACTTTTTTCAATAATAATACAGGATATGCAGTAAGATTTCAGAAAATCAGCTTGAATCCATTGACTGCATTCAAATGTTCTGTATTTCCGAGTGTACAATAACAGCATAACAATATCTTTACCTATTATACTATCTAAATGTTCTTATATAAAAATGTTTTATAATCATTTTGAATTGAAAGGTGACATGGAAGGCACATTTACCTGCTCTTTCAGCTCTAGTGTGCTATTTGCAGCATTTTATCTGAATGTGAGACATACGTTTGAGGCGTGGACACTGAAACAAGGCTTTCCGTGCTGCCCTCACCAGATCTAAATATCATATTTAAACCTCTATGGAAAGCTGTGGGAGTGTGCAGTCGTAGCTCATTTCCTTCTTCCTGCAGGAAGGTCGGAGACTATGAATGATTCATTATCCCACTGCACACAGTTCAAAACGACGTAACAGCAATGCAGTGAGGACTGAAGCTTTCAGGGCATTGATATTCTAGGTGCTTACATAATTTTGTCTACACGACATTTAAGTTAGTTCAGATATATTATTTATTAGTTCGATTACATGTTTATGTTTATGAGCAGAGAATGATGTCGCACTCCCTCTGTGTGTGTTGTTGTCGAAGCTTCTCCTTGCTTTGTTGACATACTTTATGCATGTTTGTGCATGTGAAGGTGTCCCATTGGTCAGCTCACGGCTGCCGCTCTGCACTGCGCTCATATAATTAATAACAGCGTTGTCACAGAAATGTGTAGCCCCCCCCCCCCAGTTCCCCCTCAAGTAGCTGCGAGTCACCGGCTCAGCTGTCGCCATGTTGAGAATCGTTGAGAGACAATAGAAACGCTCCCAATCCAGTATGGTGCACTTTTACATCTGCTTCTAGGTGATTAATGTCAGATGTGTGCTAATGAAAACAATTTAGCTGAATGTGTAAACTGCACATATTTCTTTGTTTATGTTTATTAGGGTACACTAATTAGCAATGAGATTGTCACTACACTGATGAAATCTCACTTTATCTCACTTTATAATTTCTTTGATAACTGGTGGTGTTTTTTTTTAATGTCTAGGATTTCTTGATTTTGTGGTTTGTCTGTGTTGTACTTCTGCTTCTTAGGGTATGATGTTGGCCAAAGACATCCGAGACAGAGAGCGAGGAGGTCGGGCAGAGATCCGAGTGATCGAAGGTGAAGCAGAGAGAGACTCTCCACAGAACATGGAGATCCTGAATGGTGTTCTTGGAGCAAGAAGCTCAGACCTAAAAGACGGACCTCCAGATGAAACTGCTGACCAGGAACAGAAGTCAAAACTCACTCTCTACCAGTGAGCTGCTCCCAGGCCGTGGCTTCCAGCATTTCATGTAGTTCATGTCCAGTTAAAGTGCTGTTTGCTACTACTCATTTGTTTGTGCCTTTTATTTCAGTGTGACAGATGCTGATGGTCAGATGAAGATCACAGAAGTTGCTTCCAGACCACTGGTTCAGGATCTCCTGAACCATGAAGTGAGTTGGTGCAATATTGACCTAATAAAGAACGCCAAGACTTTATTTTATGGCCACGCCAAGATGGGTGCCAATGCCACCATGAAACTTGGTGGTTGTCCGTCTAGTGTGTCATTTCACTATTCCTGTTCACTACTGTTTGGAGTCAAATGACTCGAACAAATAGTTTATTTACTGATGGTAAGAAATGATATATTATCTAATTATCTGTTTAGGACTGCTACTTCCTGGATCAAGGAGGGATAAAGATGTTTGTATGGAAGGGGAAGAAAGCAAACAAAGCTGAGAGACAGGCTTCTATGGCCAGAGCTTTGGTGAGTGACTTTACATCAGACCTTCACATGTATCCTTAGCTTGTCTTTGACTGCTATTGCACGCACTCAGTTGCAAGTGTACACAATACAACACCTAGCTAAAACTAATGCAGTGTAATACAGCAGTCCTGCAATAAATTCTACCAGAGTGTATTTGCTATGTTTTTATCTGTTTGGCTGTTATATTGTAGGAGTTCATCAAAGCTAAAAACTACCCGATCACTACAAATGTGGAGACAGTAAATGACGGAGCAGAGTCAGCTCTCTTCAAGCAGCTGTTCCAGAGGTGGACTGTAAAGGACCAGACTCAAGGTCTGGGCAAAGTGCATACAAGAGGAAAAGTGGGTATGTGTATTCTTAAATTTGCATAAACACAACAAGCACAGACTAAAAGTAATGCTCCTGATGAAAATTAAAATATATTGAAATCGGTTTTGTTTTGTGACCAAATGTTGCTTCAGCTCATATCAAACAGGAAAAGTTTGATGCCTCTCTGATGCACGTGATGCAAGAGGTCGCTGCACAGGAGCGAATGGTGGACGATGGCTCAGGTCAAGTAGAGGTAACTGTGACAATTTAACTTTGAGGAGGATCAGTCTATCATCTTCTGTATCAACAGGTCAAAAATCTGATGACTGAATACTGTCAGCTTCAGCCGTGCTGTGCTACCATTAACATTTAGCTCAAAGTGCAGTTAAGCGTATATTTAAAGAAGAAAAACAGAACCGCATTACCAACAGGGCCAGTCTCAGTACCGAGATCCTTGGGGGCCCCAGAGGCCCCTGGTTATCTGTGTGGCAATTGCTTTGTAGTAATTTGATTAATTACAACTCAAGATGCCCTTTTCACAGCAGACATTTTGACTTGTCGTTGCAGGAAAAGCAGCAGGTGTTACTAATAACATTGACGAGGGCTCTGTTCTGTTCAATTAAGCCATGATGGTTTGACAGTGAGCTTTATTTTATTTACACCTGTGCTTTTCTCACTGTGACATGTCAAAATGTGTCCTGTGAAAAATTTGCTTTGTATTTCTTACCAACAATTTTTTTTGTAATGTGTAATGAGTGTTACAGCCTCATAGGGGCACTAACTTCCCTACACACATTGAATGCAACTCTGTGATTTTGTGTTAATGAAGCTCTTTGTGGTTCCCAGGTGTGGAGAGTCGAGAATCTGGAGCTTGTCCCCGTGGACCCTCAATGGTACGGATACTTCTATGGAGGAGACTGCTACCTGATCCTCTACACGTACTTGGTTAACAACAAGAAGTACTACCTGCTCTACATATGGCAGGTGAGGATTTGCTTTAACACCCAGTGTATTACATAATGATAATAATTCACGTTCACACACTGAAATATTAAGATTTTTTCAATAATGCTTAAAAACAGTATATCCTTTACTGTCCCCTATAATTCAGGGTCGTCATGCGACACAGGATGAAGTTGCAGCCTCAGCATTTCAGGCTGTGGACTTGGATCAGAAGTATGGTGATGAGCCAGTTCAAGTGAGATTAACAATGGGCAAAGAACCAAGACACTTTCTGGCGATGTTCAAGGGTAAAATGGTCATCTTTGAGGTACGACTGCATTTATAATAATTTATCTGGAAGTATTCTGGTGTATAAAGTTTCTATACCAGTACAGACTATTTCTCGTTTTCCTGTAAGGGGGGCACGTCTAGAAAAGGGCCCTCTGACCCAGAGCCACCGAAAAGGTTGTTCCAGGTCCATGGCTTTGACCCGTCCAACACAAAAGCCATTGAGGTTCCTGCGCTGGCCACCTCTCTGAACTCCAATGATGTGTTTATACTCAAGAGCGAATCAGCAATCCATCTGTGGTGTGGAAAGGTAAGAAAGGTGTTAAAATCAGATAGTTACACTGATAATTCACTGAACTGAATTAGCAGGGTGAATATACAATATAACACTTTTTATAGCATTTTTGTGGTTTCTTGAATTTTATGTATTTTTGTATGTATGTCCACACTTGTTTGTATTGGTAAAAAGTATACGTAAAGATACTCCATGGCAAACATATGTAGAAACCCACATCCAGAAACATTTGTCTACTTTTTGTCCGGGCCTGTTTTCATGTTTTGAGTACGATGATGCTTTAGACCACAGTGTGCTTCCAACGTTGTGGCAACAGTTTGGAGAAGGCCCTTGTGCACAAAGCAAGGTATTGCACTGGAACGAAGAGGTCAGCACTCTTGTTGCTGAATGGGAGCAGTTCCCTGTGGACAGGTTCAAAAACCATTTGGAAAGTCTTCCCAAAATAATGTTACAGCAGCGTGTTGGTACCAGTGGTTATGGACGAGATGTTGTACAATCACATATGGGGTGTAATGTTTGGTTGTCCGTTTACTTTTGCCCATACAGTGTACATGGTAACTAACTATAACTGATTTTTTTTTGCCAGGGATCAAGTGGAGACGAGAGAGCCATGGCAAAGGAGATGAGCTCTGTGATTGGCCAGAACTCACGGCAACTCTCTGAGGAGATTGTGGCCGAGGGTCAGGAGCCCATTGAATTCTGGGGGTTGCTTGGAGGGAAAGCTCCCTATGCTAGTGACAAGAGGTGATGATGACACAATACTAATATTTGCAAAATGGCTTTGTGAAGACTGTTGCAGCAATGTTAATTTGTTTTGTTTTCCACTATTTTGCATGTCACGTTGTTGACTGCAGATTACAGCAGACGGTTTCTGACCACCAGCCGCGCTTGTTCGAATGCTCCAATAAGACGGGCCGTTTCATTGTGACCGAGGTGACTCAGTTCACGCAGGACGACCTCAATGAGGATGATGTCATGCTGCTGGACACATGGGACCAGGTACGATACACACTTAATTTAGTGGCTATGGTATATTAGCATATTACAATGCTGAACCATAACATCCCCAATATACCTGTATTTCTGTGTAGCATTTTTGTGCCATGTTACTCAATCTTAAAAGTGCCTTTTCTTATCATTGGTCCCAGTTGATTCTCTGGATCGGTAAAGAGACCAATGAGGTAGAGCGTAAAGAGTCAGTGGTGACAAGCCAAGAGTACCTGCGCACCCACCCGGGCGCCAGAGACCCTGACACCCCCATCGTCTTGATCAAGCAGGGATTTGAGCCGCCCACATTCACTGGGTGGTTCACAGCCTGGGACCCCTCCAAATGGAGTGTGAGTGTTTTTGAACTGAAATGGAGCATCAACATGTGTGCATTGACGAGGAAAAACATAACATATATGTATTTCTTTTAGGGAGGAAAGAGCTATGAGCAGTTGAAGAAGGAGTTGGGAGAAGAAGCAGCACCGGTTAATGTTACAACTGTATGTAAGGTCTTGTTTATTTTTTGAAAAATGCGTCTGATGCCATGGTTTCCAAAATGTTACCATTCTTCTTAATGTCACATGTAGGAAAAAGTTTCTGTTAGTGGTTAAGGTAAAGATGTATTACATACAGAGGGACATTCAGGAATGGTTAATGTAGGACTGCAAACGTCCAGTCTAACCTCAAGCATTGACTGGTTAGCAGTTATTTCTAAGTACTATAGACATTACTATAGACATACATACTATAGACATTACAATAACATGAAATATGTTTTTATATATTTATTTTTGGCTCCCTAACCTTGAATATGTATAAGAGTTATAATACAAAGTAAGGGACAGGAGTCAAAAACTTGCATTAACAAATTACTTGATCACCATCTGATTCAATGCCACAACAGGAAGTGATATATTAGATACAAATATTAATAAAGTGAACCTTAATGTGACTTTCTAGGAGCAGGACTGTGTTGAAAGTGAGAAAAGCTTTCAGTTTCTTCCACCTGACAACTTGGTCAACAAGCTTTCCAGCGAGCTGCCTGAAGGTGTTGACGCAACCCAGAAAGAGGTAGATAGTGTGCGTGTGCGCGTGTGTGTGTGTGTGTGTGGGGAGTGGGTGCCTAGCATGATGTGATAAGAGTTAAAGTTCAGCCACCACATTTGTGCACTTTGCCCCTGAAACAGTTCCAATGTATCTTCTGCATCATCCAACCAGTCATGGCAGAAATAAAGCCTTGATGGTGAGCTAGATGATATTTTATTAAGCAAAACAACTGCAATGTTCCTGGTTTGTTTTGACAACAAGGTTTATTTTTTTCTTTGTTATCTTATAGAGCGAAACATACCCTTATATTAACGGAAGGTGATATATGCCTTATGGAAACTAGCACATTGTTGTAGTGTGGTACAGGTGGACCCAAACACAGGACACTGAAAAGCAGTTGGTGTAGGTTAATGAAGTTTGCTGTGAGACCAGGCTGGACGAAGGTTAGAGATGTGGGCAGGCTTCGGAGCAGACCAGCTGACAGGAATACTGGATCACAGGAAACAGACAAGATTTAATTCAGGAACAAGAATATGTATTGACAAACAAAAATAAAAGTAAGTGATTTCCTCCAAATGCCACATTTAATTACCCACAGTGGAAATTCTTAACTTCATAATGCGTTATTTTATGACTTTAAGGAATTTCCTTAAAAGAAAAGCTCAATTTAAACCTAAAAATATGTATTAATCTGACCTGCTCTCTCCATTACATATTTATTTTTGAGAAACTTCCATGGCAATTGATTTGAAACTATATAGACCCAACACAAAGCTTTGCTACATATTTTCTCTCAAGTCTTCACATTATTCTCATTGTGCTCCATGTTTGATTCAGTTGTTATTATTCAGGACCTACTCGTTAATTAGCACAGTCCCTGATTTGTTCCCTGCTCTGTCTTCGATGAACCACTCAACATTCTGTGCATCCTGTTGTGAGGTGTAACCATGATGCTTTGCTGCTAAATGGTATCAGAAATGTATTGTTAATCATTCGTTTTCAATGACTAAAATTTGAGAACTGCTTTTCAGAAATACCTGTCTGACTCCGACTTCAACCACGTATTTGAGATCACCAAAGACGACTTTGCCAGCATGCCACAGTGGAAACAACTGAACATGAAGAAAGAAAAGGGGATGTTTTGAGTTACTAAGTTACTACTATTAAAGAACTTTGTGTCAGCCCCCCTCCCCTACAATTAATGACTTTAAATAAAGTCAATCTGATTGTCTTGTAATTCATAAATTTGTTCCAAAATTCTGTAATACAACTCTTTAATACTTGATTCTTTTTAAACCTGTGCTGATGTTGTACAATCGACACTGATTAATTGTTTGTGATAATATTATTTGAACTCACAGTATGAAAAAATATAAACTGTATTGCTTATTCTGCTGTGTGTGTGTTTTTGTGTCATGGCTTACCTCCTCAATTAACACACCACAGCCTGAACAAGAGATCATGTGATAAAAAGCCAATTAGACATAACAATGAATGAATACATAGAGATACCCTGAGCCTTCCACTTAGCACTTATTGTATTCATATTAGTTTGTTGCACTTATTGTATTCGTATTAGTTTGTTTCTTCACTGTACTTTTGCTCTGGTTTATGCTCTTAGATGCTTGTTTATAAAAGGAGATGCACTTATGACTTCTGGTGACTAGTAGTTCTCTTGAATACCGATGTTGAATACACTTATTGTAAGTCGCTTTGGATAAAAGCGTCTGCTAAATGACTGTAATGTAATGTAATGTAACCCGAACATTAAAAACAGAACTTAAATAAATAAAATAAAACAAGTAATTTATCAAACTCATCAGTACCAAACATTTATTTTACTTCATGTGAAAGGTTGCGTGTGTAGGTGCGTCTGTCCACTGCTAATCTCGCATTCTGCTGCAGCAAACTGCATAATATTTTGGGTGGTCAGTTATGTCTGCATGCTCAAGGACCTCTCACGGTTGCGGTGACTTATACTTTCTCAAAACACCTTTTATTACCTGTTTTATACTGCCATTGACTGCCTGCTGACTCCTCACTCACGACTGTTTGTGAGGCCGCTGCAAGCGATAACACAGGTGAGTGCATCACCGCCACTCAACTGCTGCTAAGCGGGCAGACAGCTTGGTGAGTTTCATTCTGTTTTTGTCAAGATTGTATGTCTTGTGCAATGACTTCGCGCTGCCTACATTACAACGAATCGGTGCCTAGAATTCAGCAGTAGTCGTTCCAGAAATACTTGCCGGAGATCTGAACTCTACTGAGTGCACCGTAGGTATAACTCTGAGGTCTACTTTGCCATCTGTTGGACAAAATGTATTATAACACGTCAGGCCAAAATATTTCAGGGACCAAAAATGTTTAAAAGTTCCTCCATGTATCTCCAGGAGTACAGTAGTTTTGTTATATTTCTGATGGATGTCTGTTGTAATTTTACAGCATTTTAAATTTTACAGGAACAGATTACCTTCCTGTGGTAGAGACATTTGACTTCAGAATTTCCATAATTATCATCATCGATGCCATTTTCATTTTTTTCCATGAGTTTCTCTAAAGGACTCTGAAGGAACCGTCCTTGTGTTTCCAGCTTTCAACCATCTCAGTATCTTTAGATAGTTTTAAAGCTGCTTATGATGCAGATTCCTTTGTCACGTCATGAACATTTTACATAGAAGTTGAAAAAATGACTAATTGGCATTATTCACTGTTTTTATTTTGATATGTCTGGAATGTATTTTCCGTTACAAGTATAAATGTATTTACCGTTACATCTGAATATTTCATACAACGCAAATATGTAGACCCATAAAACACATCAACTTACAGTAAGAACAGATTTTTTGCATTAAGGAAAATTAAACAAAACCAATTTGATTACTTGATAAATGGTCAATAAACCCACTGCTGTGTTCAAAATCCAAAACTATGTTTTATCAGTTAAAAGTCAGTGATGTAACTTTACTGGTTTGTTACAACAAACCAAATCCTTTGACCTGACAGGAAACCAATAGGAACATGGAATGAATCATGGAAAACATAAACAATCAATGATTGTGGATGATCATTTAAAAAAAGTCTGACCAACATTGGTTGCTCAAGATCTGACTACAGCGCCACCACACAGGACTACAGTAACCTTCCATCGGCATATTTTATGGAACAAACGGCAGTAATGAGCCGTTTGTGTCGAAGGCTTTATGCATCACAGCAGCCAACACAACAAATAATCAGGTACGAGCAAGTGAACCAGCGTTATGTTCAAATGCGACTGATTAAAGTAATAAAAAAGGCAAATGAGCCACGCTGCCTTAAACCAACAAAATGATAAGCAGCTTCATGCAGCAACATTCTACCCATCTTAAAATGTATTGATATTGCTGCTTTTGTTTTTTTTTTGTGTAACAGAATCAGATATCAGAATTAGTGTCATGATTTGTTCCATCAAAACTGAAAATGTGTTGATTTTGCTAAAGAGACACCATGAAAGAACAGGAAATGACAGAACGATACATCATCTGCAAACAAAATTAAAATCCCTTCAAAATAGCAATTGTCGCAGTAAATACCATGTCAAAGTATTATTGTATATACGTGTACTGCATGCAAAAGTACTGATTAATGACATCAATTCATGTGCAATTTGGAAATCAATATACATTCTTAGGTGCTCATGCAAACTATCACGAATGAGGTAAACGGGTCTATTCCTGCCTCGAGCATAAAAGAAACCTCACATTGTATAAAAACAAACGTAAAAAAAATTGTGATTAAATACAAAGTGTTTACAGCAATCAGAGAAGTCGAAAGCAAATGTGCAAACATACAGTATGACCATGCAGCAGAGAAGAAGCCTGCAGCAGGTCGGCTCCTTACTTCTCACTGATGTTTGGTTGTTACGGGAATGTTGTTTCTAATGAAGTCGTACATTTGATGCCACAATACAAGAACTATAAAAAGTGCAAATGCAGCCAAATCAATTTCCCTAAATTTAACATATAAAAACAGGAAAAAGGGACGTAAATGGAAAGTTAAAAAAAAAATAATCTTCTTGTAAAGATCAGCAAGGCAGCAACTATATGGCACTTTCCCTTTTCCTTATCTTATAATCTTTCAAACAACTGCCGTTGATTTCCTGTTGATCTACAACTGCCAGTTTTTAACTTCCTAGTTTCTGATGTAATGTTTCTCTGTAATACAGAGCTCACTGTGTTTAGTCCACAGGTAAATCCTGATTCGTGTCCTGGCAGCTGTTTGTATACAAACAAACCTTATTAAAAGAGGTAAACGGTCAAAGCGGCACGGACTATTGTCCGTGTCGATCCACGAATTACAAAAAAGATATGACTGATATAAAAAGAAATTATTGGCAAATAATCTTAAGTAGTCAGCAGTGGAATTCCAGCGAGTAAACCACCTGGATCCTGAGTTTCTTTGTTGAGAATTTAAAACTGAAACTTGCAGTTCTACTACAGTGTATTACAACCAATTATAAAGCAATCTGCTGAATAATTGATTTACTATTTTGTTAAAAACTATTTCAAAAACTAGTGTAAAACTATCATAAAGATTCCCTAGAGCCTATAGTGACGTCTTCAAATGGTTATGGTTGGCCTCAAAGTTTTTTTTAAGAACATTAAAATCAGATGTGGGTAAACTGCAGATCAAAGAGCTCTTGAATTACACCAAATGATCAATAATCAATCACCTCTGCCCTTTTGTTCAGTAGTAGATAAACCAGATTAAGACACAACACAAGCTTCAGAATTATTGGGGTCTTGGGTTGTCTCATCATTGACCAGGTAGTTGTTAGCAGAACTTTTCTCTGAATCCTCAGGCAGCTCCAAAGTGTCTGCTTCACCCGGAAACATCCCGTCCTGCTCTGGAATCTCAGCGGACGCATCCTCGTAGGCACTGATGCTGTCCGAGTCGTTCCTCTCCGGAGAAGGGTCTCGTCCGTCCATGACGTCGTGTTCGTAAGGCCTCTGCAGGATGCCGTCTCCGGAGGATGGGTCGTCCACTGCAAGAGACGGCAACTGGCCGAGGGGCTTAGTGACCATCTTCCTCGGCTTCGTCAGGACGCCTCCCTCATCCTCTGCCTTGTCACTCTGTCCTCCGTTCTCCGACGCTCTGCCTCGCCTTTCACTTCTTTGAGGTTCACACGGCAAGGACTCTTTCATCAATTCCTTTGCATCCTTTTTCATTTGGTGTCCTTGTGTCGTTACCACATCCACACTTCCATGTGTGTTCCCTGTAGCAGAAGCCTCGTTATTCCTCTCCTGCAAAGAGAAATTGAGTTGTCCATGAGTACTGTGATGTCATGAGAGGGAGGGTCATCAACGGGAGATACATCCCCTCCCGGTGGCTGCAGCAAAGACTACAACCCTTCATGGCATTGGGGTAACAAACTACAATTCCCATAGTCAGCAGGGCAGCCGGGGCCAAGGCGGCGGCCCAGCTGAAAGAGAAGGGACTGATTACCCGGGAGAGGTTGGTGTGGGGAAGAAGGAGGAAATGTTTGGAGAGAAGAGGACAGGAGCACACAAAGAGGAAAAGAGTTTTATTTTACATTAAAGACAACGAACCCGAAGAAACCGGAAGATACTTATGTAGCGGCTTTCGGCTGGAATGAAGTTTACCTTTTGTTTAAAGAATCTAAATATATTATTTTGAGTTAGAACACAACCGCTTGTTGTCTTCATTTGTGCACCCACGCCTCACAAGCTGATCCCGACCTCAAGACATCACAGTGGTGGAGAATGCCAAATATGGAGGGGTGGGTGAGAGTGAATGTCCATCAGTGATTTGACCATTCGCTTTGCACAATTGAGAACCAGTGAGGATGCAATGGAGGAAATGCTTAGGCTGCTCACGCAAAGCACCCAGCTCCAGATTGAGGCTAGCCGGGCTCTGGTGGAGGAGCAAAGAAAAGCAAACATGTTGAAGGAGGAGGAACTCAGGCTACAGAGAAGTCAGCTTCAAACAGCAGGGCTACCGAACCCCAACCCTGTCCTCCGGGCCAGTGATTTTATTCCTAAAATGGGACCCACCGATGATCCAGAAGCCTACCTTCATGCATTGGAAAATACAGCAACCAGACAAAAATGGCCGAAAGACCAGTGGGTTGGTATCCTTGCCCCGTTCCTGTACGGTGAGTCACAGAAAGCTTTTCAAGACCTGGATAGCACAATGACTATGATGTCCTGAAAGAGGAAATGTTAAGTAGAATAGGACTTACTAAGTTTGGAATGGCCCAACGGTTCCACAATTGGGGCTTTAGGAATGACCAACCCCCCGGTCACAGATGCACGAGCTAATACGTATCACAAAGAAATGGCTTGATCCGGATAAAACCCCTGCAGCAGCTATAGTGGAAGCCATTGTTGTAGATCGATACTTACGGACACTGCCCTATGAGGCAAAGAGGGTTATTAGCCACAGTGCTCCAGTCACAGCCATTGCCCTGGTGGAGGGAGTTGAACAGTACCAGGCCACTAATGAAATGCTCCGCATGGGGAAAAAGGAGCAACCCATGTCTCAAGGATGCCCAGCAAATCTACGTCCCCAGCCCCACTCAAAGTAACCCAACCCAACAGATTAATATACAGAGACATTATCAGACTGAGTGAGAGCAAAGAAAATGAAGTCCAGAGGGGGAGACTCGGAGATGCGGGGAACTGGGACACATCTCATGGCAATGCGATAAAGGGGACGAACTAATGCCGACAGCAGAGTCCGCTGGCAGCCAGCCTACACACCTCTACGCCTCCTTGATGGAGGGTACAGAGCACCAAGCTTTTACGTGCCCTGTGAAGCTTATTAATCAGGATGTGGAAGCTTTGCTGGACTCAAGGAGTAATTATACACTAGTTCACAAACCTTTGATAGAGGGAAGAGACTAGCTTCAGGAAGAGACACGACCAGTTTCGTGTGTCCATGGTGTAACACGCCAGTATCCTACGTGTACGGTGAAGCTAATCACAATGCAAGGCATGTGTGAAGTTAAGGCGGGGGTGCTAGATTCCCTGCCAGTCTCACTTTTAATTGGAAGAGATTGTCCCCTGTTCCTCAGGCTGTGGAGAGAGATACTGACAGATCAAGGGACCCCTTTTATGTCTCGTGTCACCAAAGGCCTGTGCTCTCTCCTAAAGATTAAGCACCTCAGAA